AGGGGCTGCAACGGATCTGATAAAAACTGATCCAGATTTGAACACTTCTATGTCGTCACAGAAGTGGCGCTACGGCTATTGGGCCAACTCTCCACCTATCAGGGGAATGTGGGGTTGGGCCACGGCCGGCCATTGCCGCTCGAAAGCGCTGGAGACGCTGTAGTACATATGCCAGGCCTGTAAGTGGCGCTGTAGTCTGCCACAAAAGCAGCGAAGAAGACTTCCCGCCCATAGTTACCATGGTTACCCTTCTGTTTATTCTCCGCTGTGGCTTTCTTTCTCCCTCCCCGAGGCAAGCGTTTGCTCCTGCTGCTGTAATTCAATGCAATCCCTCCCCGTCGAGGCAAGCACTGTAACTCTCTCCGGTTAGTCCACCAGCAGATGACAAACACCCACCTCTCCGCCTCTTCCAAGGAACGAGGGGACCGTGCAGCAAAGTTTCAGTTTCAGTTTGTTTCGCCGGTCAAGATGTCCGTTAAAGTTTAAATCTTCCGGACAAAATTAGAAAAGTGCCGGTCAAAGGTCTTCTTTGTTATTTATTGAGCTTTAAAACAAATGAATAACGACTCTATATAATAATAGGCTATAATAAAACACGGAAGACGGAGATCTATTTTTCTCCCCCTCTTCTGACAGCCCAGCAGCTGTTCAGAGCACGCTCCCCTCTCCTGCAGGGGGGCGTGGTCAGCAGCAGCTCAAAGAATCAGCCCCCTGCAAAAACAGTGCTGGAGAACAGCAAATAGAGCGAAATGAGGCATGGCTTAAAATCATGATCTGTTTGGTATTTTGAAAACAGAAACGTATAAATATACCTTATATAGGTATGGCCCTACAATATATCATTTAAATATAGCATGATAGGTCCACTTTAAGTGACAGAAAAATTCAAACAGGGAATTTCAATCTAAAATGAAAATCATTTAATACAAATTATATTAAGGATGTCTTATAAGAGTGTGTCGGTGAGCGATGGCGTTTTATTATACCACACAGTATTTATAGTGAGGTACAAATGTATGTTCGTCATGAGCCCCCGAGCCTGTTTTCCAGGTCTCAGGCTCGAAAATGACATTCCCAGAACAAATGACCATAACGTCACTTTTTTTATTTTAAAGTAAATTCAGATTGAACATAGTAAAAAAATGTATATTATAGTGTCCGTCCAAAGAAATTACTTATAGTGAAAACCACCCCTGAATGATGGGATAGTAGACTAAAAGCTTTAGGAATCCAAACTATAACATATAATAACATAATAATTTTGTGTCCTGTGGCTCTATGTTTGATTCTGTGACTAACTCTGCTTCTGTGAACACCACAGTCTGTGACTCTGAACAATGTGGTCTGGAAAACCCTTTCAGTTTTACTCCTTTTACTGTAAATGTTGTTCATGAAGCATTATCTAAGTTAGATCCTAAGAAACCGGCCGGCCCGGACAACGTGGAACCTTTCTTTTTAAAGATAGCTGCACATTTTATTGCTCCACCTCTCACTTCTCTTTGTAACCTCTCCCTCAGCACAAACACAATTCCTAAAGTATGGAAGTCAGCGTATGTCCTGCCTCTACTAAAAGGAGGGGAGACAACTGTTTTAAATAACTATAGGCCAATCTCTAAATTATCAGTTCTGGCTAAGGTGCTTGAACGCCTAGTGAGTGAACAGGTAAAGGTGTTTTTATGTAACAATGACATCCTGTCTAAACATCAGTCAGGTTTCAGAAAGCAACATAGCACCATCACTGCCACAATGAAAGTGGTGAATGACATTACAAGTATTTTAGATAAAAAGCAGAGTTGTGCAGCTCTATTTATTGACCTTTCCAAAGCGTTTGATACCGTCGATCATCGCATCTTAAAGCAGAGGCTACTCAGTATTGGCTTATCCAGCCATGCAGTGGGGTGGTTTGTGAACTACCTCTCTGAAAGGTCCCAATGTGTTCACTTTGATGGGCTGTCTTCTGAGTGGTTAAACATTGCTAATGGTGTTCCTCAAGGTTCTGTTTTAGGTCCACTTTTATTCTCCATCTACATCAATAGTTTAGGTGAAAATGTGGATGAAGCTACTTTACATTTTTATGCGGATGACACCGTGATGTACTGTGCAGGTCCCTCCATTAAGGAGGCTGGCGTTAAATTACAGGCTGTTTTTAACATTATTCAGACTCAGCTCGCTGAGTTTAAGCTTCTTTTAAATGTTGAGAAAACCAAGGTAATGCTCTTTTCTAAAGCTAAAAAGACTCCAGAGACTGCTTTGGATATTGTGACTATGCAAGGACAAGTACTCCAAGTGGTTAGCTGTTATACATACCTTGGTATCTGGCTTGATGATTGTCTTACTTTTAAACTTCAGGTCACTAATCTGCTTAAAAAGCTGAGGGTTAGACTAGGTTTCTTTTTCAGAAACAAGTCCTGTTTCTCTTTTGAAGCCAGGAAAAGGCTAGTCACTGTGACCTTTTTACCTGTGCTAGACTATGGTGATTTGATCTATATGAATGCACCTGCCCATTGCCTGGAAAGGTTAGATGCCGCCTATCACAGTGCTCTGAGATTTGTTACTAACTGTAAAGTACTTACTCATCACTGTACCCTGTATGCCAAGGCAGGTCTGCCTTCACTTACTGGTCGGAGGCTCAGTCATTGGTACATATTTATATATAAAGCCATGCTGGGTAAACTACCGACTTATATCTGCTCCTTGATCTCACGGAGAGTGGCAAGTAGCTATTGCCTGAGATCCCAGGATGTGTTCTTATTACATGTGCCAAGTGCTAGGACTGTTTTAGGTACTAAAGCTTTTATGTGCGCTGCTCCTCTAGCTTGGAACCAAAAAATATTGAAACTGAGCATTTTGATTCCCTTGCATCGTTTTAAAGCACGGCTGGATGACATGTTATTGGATACCTGTCACTATAAATAGGTTGCTAATGTATACCCCTGTAATTATGTTGTGATGTCCTTTTGTTTTCTGTTGTTTTTATGTGTAACTAAATGTACCGCAGGTCTCCCTTGAAAAAGAGATCGTTGATCTCAATGGGATTTTTTAACCTGGTTAAATAAAGGCTACAAACAAACAAGTACCCTGTATCAAGATTGATGCAAAACAAGTGACATTTGACCTTTCTAGAGAGATTTAGAAAAAGAAACCCACTTCTGGGGTCATTTGGGTGCATTTGACCTATCTCTGGAACCCCTTGGTCGATTTTGATGATTGACACCTCTTTTTAACCGTTAGAGCCAATAGAATCGAGGGGAAGTTCCTAAAATCCATCTAAACATTACCCATTGGTGAATGAGTGATGCGCAGCCAGAATGCCCAAAAAAGGAAGCTGTCATACACTCTGGTAGCTATCATTAGCAGCCAATATGAAAACTCAGTTTTTGACATAAAAATGGAATGATGGATTATCAGTAATTTTTTCAAAGTGACACAGACACATTGGATTAACCTTTGGATCAACCTGTTAAACCCTGAGCCTGTTTTTCAGGTTTCAGGCTCGAAAATTCCATTAACACAACAAATGACTATATCTTCACTTCTAAAAGAGGTAAATTAATAATCTTTTTTCTCAAAGCAAGGTTACATCTGTGAGTTGGATGTAGAAGTGTCAGAATCAATATAGATGTTTTTATTTTAAAGTAAATTTAGATGGGACATAGTAAAAACATGTCAATTCTAATCTCCGCCTAAAAAAACCCAATTACTTATAGTGAAAACCACCCTTGAATGATGGGTTAGTTGACTAAAAGCTTTAGGAATCCAAACTATAACATATAATAAGTACCCTGTATCAAGATTGATGCAAAATAAGTGAAGTTTGACCTTTTCAGAGAGGTTGAGAAAAATAAAGTCCAGGCGGAATCACCTCTGGGTAATTTGGGAACCATCAGTTCCATTTGACCTTTTTCACTGTAAAAATCATTTTATTACTTTGAATTATCACTATAGGTATTCATTCCATCCAAATACAACAGTTGTAAAAAAAAAAATAAAAAAAAAAAAACATCTTGTAATCTGCTCTGTTATCTGCTGTCCGCTCTGTGTTTTGGATTTGGATGATTGACACCTTTTTTTTAACCATTAGATCCAATAGAATCGTTGGGCAGTTCCCAAATCCACGTAAACATTACCATTGCGGAGTGATAGTGATGCAAACGAAGCATATCTGAAAGTTGAAGCCCTGGACTGCTAAACTTTATACCCAGTATATTGCCATAAATATGATGATGGATTATCAGTAAAAATGTCAACGTGACACAGACACATTGGATTAACCTTGAGCGGTGTTTTTATTCCGTTGAACACAACTTTTGATCACAAATCAACAATAGGTAAGACGTAATTATTGTTATGGTTTTGAAACCGGATGTTGTTTGCTTTCTCTTTTCTGGCTGATAGCTCCGCGAATTCTGGTCGTACAGTGATGACATTATATGTATGGAATCTGTGGAATCTCAGCTTGCTAGTCGACATCTTGTTTGTGCAGTTACGATAAGTAATAAGGGCATTTCGGTTCCGAATTGATTTTAAAATCCTTTTATTTGTTTTCAAAGCACTAAATGGGCTGGCTCCGGCCTATATAGCCGAACTCCTCCAGCGCTACACCCCAGCCAGAGCTTTAAGGTCTGCTGACCAGCTGCTGCTGGTAGTGCCCAAGACCAGGCTCAAAACCCGAGGGCACCGAGCCTTCGCAGCAGCTGGCCCTAGGCTCTGGAACACTTTGCCCCTCCATGTGAGGTCGGCCCAGACCCTAGGGGTTTTTAAATCTACTCTTAAAACACACTTCTTCTCTCTGGCCTTCTAGTCAGAGCGGAGCACGACTCCTGACTTTTCCTTGTGTTTTTTTATATATCTGTTGTAATTTATTGTCTTTTATTGTGATTGTAGTAATGTGTTTTTATGTGATTGTATTACATGTACAGCACTTTGGCCCGACCAAAAATCGCTTTTAAATGTGTTTTATAAATAAACTTTGATTTGATTTGATTTTTAGCTGAGTTTCTTCCCGTTAAGTAGGTATGACACATTGATAGTTTATTAAATGTTAAGAAGCCCCGAGACACAGTTTCGTGGAAAAAAATGTTAGCTATATCAGGAAATGCATCTCTACAGGATGTGGTAGGAGTTTGTCTGGTGCGCACTTCTGCAAATTCGAGTAATATATAATAATACACAGAATTAACACAAAGAATATACTTTATACAGAAATGGTCATAAGAAAAAGACCCAAGAGGAACTCAAGCAATCAGTAGTTTTCAATCACGACTACTATCAGAGTGCAAGCAAGAGGAATCAGCTAGCTAGCTCCATGGAGAATTATTAAAGGTCTGCAGCGTGAACGTGTTGGTGGACTTTGAGGTTACTACGTCGAGAAAATGTTTTCCCACATTGATCACAGCTGTGAGGTTTTTCTCCTGTGTGGATTATCATGTGATCCTTTAAACTTCCTCTCAGTGCAAAAGATGTATTACAAACTGAGCAGCTGAATGGTTTTTCTCCTGTATGAATTCTCATGTGATCCTTTAAACTTCCACTCTGTGTAAAAGATTTCTTACAGACTGAGCAGCCAAATGGTTTCTCTCCTGTGTGGATTATCATGTGTTCATTTAAATCTCCTCTCCCAGCAAAAGGTTTATTACAGACTGAGCAGCTGAATGGTTTCTGTCCTGTGTGGATTATCATGTGTTTCTTTAAACTAACTCTATGTCTAAATGAATCGTTACAGACTGAGCAGCTGAATGGTTTCTCACCTGAATGGATTCTCATGTGGTCCTTTAAACTTTCTCTCACTGTAAAAGATTTCTTACAGATTAAGCAGCTGAATGGTTTCTCTCCTGTGTGGATTATCATGTGTTTCTTTAAACGGCGATACTCTGGAAAGGATTTCTTACAGACTGAGCAGCTGAATGGTTTCTCTCCTGCACTACGTCTCGAATCACTGACAGGGTCTTGTTTATTTCTCTTAGAGTTTGAATCTGGTTCTCTGGTCTCCTTCCAATCAACCCTGTCTTCAGTGTCAGGTTCAGAAGAGTCTCCAGGGTTGTCCTCAGTCTCAGGTTGTAAATGTCTCTCTGGATCTGAGTTCCTGGCTGGTTCTGGTCCTCCACAGTCCTCTCCATCAGCTTCTGTTTCCAGGTGTTCAGTTTGTCTTTGATGAAGCTGAGAGGACTGAGGTTTCTCTTCATCATCTTCACTCTTCACAGGGACAGGAGTGAATGTGGACTTGGTGATATCAGCCTCCTCCAGCCCTTGAAGCTGCTCTCCCTCCTGACTGATCCAGAGTTCCTCCTGCTCCTCTTTAATGTGTGGGGGGGGCTCTGGGTCCTCCTGGTCCAGACTGGAGCTCCACTCCTGCTGCTCAGGGGGAACCTCTTCTTTAACCACCACCAGCTGCTGGACGTCTGCAGGAAACAGGAAACACACACAGAGACGTTACAGAGAACAGCTGTTGTGTTCATTACGTCACCGCTCAAAGCCCCATTTTGAACCCCTTATTTGTAAATTCCTAATTAATATCATAAACACCTATGGCTAATATCTTTTTACATTTATGCACCAACATGTTATGTTTGTGTCCAAAAGTTAGGGATGCACCGATAGGAGTACGAGTACATGAGGACAGCATCGGCCCGATACCCGTTAATGGGATCGGTATCGTTGCATCCCAAATAAAACACAGAGGGTTACAAATTAATATTAAAGAGTTGAGATATTGATGAAGATGCAGGTTATGTATAATGGGTTACAGCAGTGGTTCTCAAACCTTTTCTGCCAGGCCCCCCCTTTTGGAGAAAAAAAAAAGTCGGGCCCCCCGCAACACAAATAGTCACGTAATGGGCCAAGTTAAAGGTGGGGTAGGTAATTTTGGAGAAACCAGCTTGAGTGCGCTAGAATTTGAAAATACACAGCCGGAACAAATCTGCAACTTCCTTACAGAGCCCCTCCTCCAACACACATGAACGCGCACATGACCAATGAGGGCACGAGATAAGTTTGTGCACAGATGGAAGGCTGACAGGCAGGTAGGCCATCCAGTTACTTTAGCCGGGCCGGCTAAAATTATTGGTCGTGCTTTTTACAGTACTACAGCTTCCACAGATGAATTTATGGATTTTTGTCAAAGCACTTAAGATATTCATTGCTATCGGGATGTTAAAGGAGAGGTGTCATGGCCATTTCCACTGATCATAATTCCATTGTTGAGGTCTACTAGAATAGATTTATATTGTGCATTTTTCCAAACTCACATTGGTTTCTCAAACAGCATCTCTCTCGTTCCGGGTACGGCATGACATCATGCCGTACCCGGAACGAAATGGAAGAATCAAATGGGCAGTGACGTATCTCCAACGAGGCGTTTTGGGGAGGTATTTTCTGTGTTAGAGTTTTACTCGCTACAGGGTGTACTTTGAGGGTTTTGACTCTGCAGACCGTTTACATGCATAAAAACCTTCATAACACAAGGGGACGGGTAATAACCGGAAAAGCATGACATGGGACCTTTAAGAGCATTCCATGGAATATAACAAAAAGTGTATCTCGGGGGGCGTCTCCTCTCCTCTCTGATGAGCTGCTGCTGAAGAGGGGGGGGGCATGCTGCAGGACTTCCGCCCTGTGTAGCGGGTGTCTGCAGGATCAGTAAATGAAATCCAACATTCAATATTCTGGGGAGGATGTTGTTTATATTTGTGACTTTGTTGTTCTGCTGCTGCTCCCGTTAACTTCCAGAAACTACGCTAAACTTCCCGCTCGCTCTACACATGCCCGCGCCACACACGTTTAGACTTTGAATCGAAGGATCACCGGTCCCGATCCGACCAAATACAGAGCGTGGACTGGTACCTGGAGAGGTACCAGTTCACTTCCTGGGCCACAGCGGAGGTGCCCTCGAGCAAAGGCACTGAACCCCCAGCTCTGGGGGCCGGCAAACTGGCTGCCCATTCACTCTCCTATCCTGCATGGGGTTCAGTTTCGGCATGTGTTCATGTGTGGTTACAAATAAAAGTTATTTCCCCGTTGGGGATAAATAAGAGTAAATGTTGTATCTTCAACAAACTTCGTACAGTGAAGGTAAAGAGTAATGAAAAGAATAAAGACTATAACAAAAAAAGTAGAGAAACAGGAGAACTGCTTAAACAGCCAGCCACTCACGGTGGCGTCAACCCGTTGTACATGATAGGCTAAGGGACGGGACATCGCTAAGTGGTCGGCTGTGGCTCAGTGGATAGAGTGCTGGACTTCGAATCAGGGGGTAGCAAGTTCAAACCCCACTGCAGTCAGCATGTCGTTGTGTCCCTGAGACACTTCACCCCAAATTGCTCCTGTGGGGATTGTCCACAGTATTGAGTATGTAAGTCGCTTTGGATAAAAAAAGCGTCTAACAAGTAACATGTAATGTAATGTAATGGTCGACCAATCACAACAGAGCCCGCCAGCTAACCAATCAGAGCAGACTGGGCTCTGGTTTCAGACAGAGGGTGAAAAGAGGCAGTATGAGAAAAATAAAGCGCTTTCTTAACATTAAAGCATGAAGACAACATACTAATACCAACCTGAAAATGAACAGAATATGTCATCTGTGTTGTTGTCCTCAGTCTCTGGTTGTAAATGTCTCTCTGGATCTGAGTTCCTGGCTGGTTCTGGTCCTCCACAGTCCTCTCCATCAGCTTCTGTTTCCATGTGTTCAGCTGAGCTGCTGGCTGGAGGCTCTGCCTCTCTGTTCTCCTCAGTTTGAGTTTGATGAAGCTGTGAGGACTGACGACCAACACACTTATGGCTTTTGACCAGATTACACCGGATAAATCTTTTATGACAAACACTACAATGGAATGGTTTCTCTCCTGTGTGGATTCTCATGTGTCTCTTTAAATCTCCTCTATGTTTTAAAGACTTCTCACAGACTGAGCAGCTAAATGGTTTCTCTCCTGTGTGGATTCTCATGTGTCTATTTAAATTTCCTTTCTGTGTAAAAGAATCGTCACAGACTGAGCAGCTGAATGGTTTCTCTCCTGTGTGGATTTTCATGTGTGTCTGTAAACTTGATTTCTGTGTAAAATAATTGTTACAAACTGAGCAGCTGAATGGTTTCCCTCCTGTGTGGGTGCTCATGGGTCTATTCAGATGTAACTTGCTGCAATTTTCTTTCCCGCACTGAGAGCATATAAAGCGTTTCTCTCTAGCACTACTTGTTGAATCACTGACAGGGTCTTGTTTATTTTTTGCAGACTTTGAAGCTGACACAGGTTTTCTGGGCTCCTTTGAATCTCCACTGTCTTCAGTGTCAGGTTCAGAAGAGTCTCCAGGGTCGTCTTTAGTGTCTTCAGAAGAGTCTCCAGGGTTGTCCTCAGTCTCTGGTTGTAAATGTCTCTCTGGATCTGAGTTCCTGGCTGGTTCTGGTCCTCCACAGTCCTCTCCATCAGCTTCTGTTTCCAGGTGTTCAGTTTGTCTTTGATGAAGCTGAGAGGACTGAGGTTTCTCTTCCTCATCTTCACTCTTCACAGGGACAGGAGTGAATGTGAACTTGGTGATATCAGCCTCCTCCAGCCCTTGAAGCTGCTCTCCCTCCTGACTGCTCCAGAGTTCCTCCTGTTCCTCTTTAATGTGTGGGGGGGGCTCTGGGTCCTCCTGGTCCAGACTGGAGCTCCACTCCTGCTGCTCAGGGGCAACCTCTTCTTTAACCACCACCAGCTGCTGGACGTCTGCAGGAAACAGGAAACACATATTCAGAGAAACTGTAGAGTATAAGAATTTAAAATCTAACCACGAGTAACACTTCATTAACTTTGCAGCCCTTATCCATTCCTTATTTTAAATGCTTGCTTATTGATTTGCTAAGTCCCGCCCACTCTGTGTTTCTGTTGGCTCGATTGTCTGTCAATTACACTTTTTTCCAGATGCTCTGGAGAGCTTCAGGACAACAGGTGAGTTAGTACTGTAGCTGATCTAAATCATAGTAACAGTGCTTAGTTTGGACAGGGAGAGCGTGGGGACGAAGTTTCTACTTTTCTGTTTGCAGATATGAGTTTCTACATGTAGGTTTGAGTAATTCATGCTAATGTTAGTTAGCAGGGTTAGCTCTGTATGTACTGGCTGCATGAGATGTTGGTCTGTTTTTAGTGATTGTTTTAGACAGTCGGAGGGGGCTCCTATTAAGGCACTGCTAGCTGTACCCTTCATTCAACACGTAGAAAATAGGCAAGAGTAGTACGAGACAAGGTCTGAAAATCCTGAAACTTTTCTAAAAAGTCAGAGTTCTGACTTTTTTCAGAAAATATCAAAATTCTGACTTTTTTCTCAAACTGAAAAGTCAAATTAGTGACTGTAGTTGGAGCAACGGAACCCGGTCAGCTAATACCGTTACCGGTCTGTGGGAAACACTTCATCATAGCTCATGACAGAGACGGAGTACTCGAGTCCCGATTTTCGGGACTCGTGACTCGACTCGGACTCACGCACTGATTGACGCGACTCGGACTTGGATTTGTGAATTCTCGCACACGATGACTTGGACTCAGACTCGTGAATTTTTCCCCCACGATGACTCGGACTCGACTTGTACATTGACGCTCCGACTTGGACAGCAAGACTGAGGTCATCTTTTTTGGACCCCAACCTCCAGCCTCTCCGGTTGATATTCTGGGCTTTCTCAAAAAAAACATCCTCCCCTCTGTCATGAACCTTGGAGTGACCTTCACTAGCACTTTTCAATTCGACAAGCAGGTCAGCACCGTAGTCAAATCCTGCTTTTTTTTTTTTAAATAAGACTATTGGCCAAAACCAAGTCGTATTTATCTTTTAATGACTTAGAAAGGGTTATTAACGCCTTTGTAACCTCGAGACTGGACTATTGCAACGCTCTGTATGTGGGTATGGACCAGGCCTCAATTAAACGCCTGCAGCTAGTCCAAAACGCAGCTGCACGTTTGCTGACTGGCCACAAAAAGCGTGACCACATCACCCCAATTCTGGCCTCACTACACTGGCTTCCAGTTCGGTTCAGAATTGATTTTAAACTCCTTTTATTTGTTTTCAAAGCCCTAAATGGGCTGGCTCCGGCCTATATAGCTGAACTCCTCCAGCGCTACACCCCAGCCAGAGCTTTAAGGTCTGCTGACCAGCTGCTGCTGGTAGTGCCCAAGACCAGGCTCAAAACCCGAGGGCACCATTCGCAGCAGCTGGCCCTAGGCTCTGGAACACTCTGCCCCTCCATGTGAGGTCGGCCCAGACCCTAGGGGTTTTTAAATCTACACTAAAAACACACTTCTTCTCTCTGGCCTTCTAGTTAGAGCGGAGCACGACTCCTGACTTTTCCTTGTGTTTTAAAAAAAAAATAATTATATATATCTGTTGTAATTTATTGTCTTTTATTGTGATTGTAGTAATGTGTTTTTATTACATGTACAGCACTTTGGCTCGACCAAAAATCGCTTTTAAATGTGCTTTATAAATGTGCTTTATAAATGTGCTTTATAAATAAAACTTGATTTGATTTGATCGTGCTGTATGCTTTCACACATTCTGCTTCCACATTGGGAAAGAGCAGCGCAAAATGCTCTATGTGGAAAAAATATTGAAGAGAAGGCTCCGTAACACATTACTCCAAGGATCGAGTTCAGACCTATAGGCTGTCTTGAACACTATCGTCAGAGTAACGTGATCTAATCCCCTTAGGCAATATTATAAGGAATCATTCTGTAAATGTTCATTGTTATGCGGATGATACTCAACTATATTTATCCATCAAGCCTGATGAAATTAATCATCTAAATAAAATTCAAGACTGCCTCAAGGACTTAAAAACATGGATGACTTTAAACTTTTTGATGTTAAACACGGCCAAAACTGAAGATATTGTACTCGGCCCAAAGAATCTACGATACAAATTATCTAAAGATATACTAACTATGGATGGCATTAATTTGGTCTCCAGTGAGACTGTAAGGAACCTTGGTGTTATATTTGATCAGGATGTATCCGCCCACATAAAATCAATCTCAAGGACCGCCTTCTTTCATCTACGTAACATTGCAAAAATCAGGCATATCTTGCCTCCAAACGATGCAGAGAAACTAGTCCATGCATTTGTTACTTCAAGGCTGGATTATTGTAACTCTTTATTATCAGGGTGTACCAAGAAGTGAGTTAAAGGTGGGGTAGGTCATTTTGGAGAAACCAGCTCGAGATCGCTAGAATTTGAAAATACACAGCCGGAAAAAATCTGCCACTTCCTCACAGAGCCCCTCCTCCAACACACACGAACGCGCACATGACCAATGAGGGCACGAGATAAGTTTGTGCACAGATGGAAGGCTGACAGGCAGGTAGGCCATCCAGTTATTTTAGCCGGGCCGGCTCAGATGATTGGTCGTGCTTTTTACAGTACTACGGCTTCCACAGATGACATTTCTTTATGGATTTTTTGTCAAAGCACTTCAGATATTCATTGCTATCGGGATGTTAAGAGCATTCCATGGAATATAACAAAAAGTGTATCTCGAGCCGGTTTCTCAAACTTACCTACCCTACCTTTAAGTCGCTTCAGTTGATTCAAAATGCTGCAGCTCATGTACTAACCAGAGTTAGGAAAAGGGACCACATTACTCCTGTTCTGGCTGCCTTACACTGGCTCCCTAGAGAACACAGGATAGCATTTACAATTCTTCTTCTCGCCTACAAAGCCCTTAATGGGCAGGCGCCATCTTACCTTAAAGAACTCATTGTACCCTACTGTCCTACTAGGGCATTGCGTTCCTAGAATGCAGGGTTGTTGGTTGTTCCTAGAGTCTCTAAAAGTACAATGGGAGCCAGAGCCTTTTCTTATCAAGCTCCACATTTGTGGAATCAGCTTCCAGTTTGTGTTCGGGCGGCAGACAGCCTATCTCTTTTTAAGAGTGCGCTTAAGACCTTCCTTTTTGATAAAGCTTATAGTTAGGGCTGATTAGATTCAGCCCCTAGTTTAGCTGCTATAGGCTTAGACTGTCGGGGCACACCTTACTTCTTCCTTCTCTCTGTCTGTACCTGTGTACTCTCATGTTCCCAATAACCCAGCTTCCCCAAATTTCTTTTTGGTGTCTATCTTCACCGGGATCCTGAGTTGTGGCTGATCGTGTTGCTGTGGTCCCGAGTCCTGGATCGCGAGCCCTGGATCTTGAGTCGTGGCTGTGCCTGCTGCTGTGGTCCTGGATCATAAGTCCTGGATGGATATCCTCGTGGATTCATCTTCTTATTATAGACACATGCATTTCCAAATATTTGGACTACCTATGTTGTACATGTATTATCTTTTTGATTTACACACGGCATCTATTGCACGTCTGTCCGTCCTGGGAGAGGGATCCCTCCTCTGTTGCTCTCCCTGAGGTTTCTCCCATGTTCCTTTAAACTGTGGGGTTTCTCTGGAAGTTTTTCCTTGTACGATGTGAGGGTCTAAGGACAGAGGGTCTAAGGACAGAGGGTGTCGTATTGTCATACTGATATTCTGTGCAAACTGTGAAGTCCACTGAGACAAATGTAACATTTGTGATATTGGGCTATATAAATAAACATTGATTGATTGATGATTGATAATCAATAAATAAAGATTCAGCCGATAACACAAAAGCACATGGCTACTTAAAGGTCCCATGTCATGGCCATTTCTACTGATCATAATTCCATTGTTGAGGTCTACTAAAATAGATTTATATTGTGCAATTTTGCAAAATCTCATTGGTTTCTCATACAGCATCTCTGTATAGTATGTGTATTCACTCTCTGTCCTAAACGGCTTGTTGGAGCTCCCCCCCCCCCCCTCCCTATGAGCCCAGTGGCCGTCTGCGAGACAGCGAGACACAGCCCGAAACCAGCCTGAACACACACACACCCGCAGCCTGGCTGGGAGTTTGTGTGTGTGCTCACACACCGTCTCACAGCCTCGCCGCGTCCCGCCGTCTCAGGGAGGAGCTGCAGCTGAGAAAAGATTGAGTGTGTGTGTGAGGAAGTCCGTGGATTGGACGTAACGTAACGGCTCCACGGATTGGTCCATTTGTATGGGCACGTCACTGTACCCAGGAAGAAAACAATGGAAAAAGAGAAATCTCCAACGAGGCGTTCTGGGGCAGCATAGACAGGTCTTTTCTGTGTTAGAGTTTTACTCGCTACAGGGTGTACTTTGAGGGTTTGTGACTCTGCAGACCGTTCACATGCAGAAGCTTCATAACACAAGGGGACGGGTAATAACCGGAAAAGCATGACATGGGACCTTTAACATGCAGAATGTCGTCATTTTGCATGCTAAGTAGCCATGTGCTTTCTGGGGCTTAATATTTATTGATAGAATTTAAACATTCACTATAATAATTGTAGCGTCCCCGGCTGAATGATGGTCAGACTCTCCGACTGATGGTATCTGTTTATTGCACACCCTTGCTTTTATACAATCATTACTAACGTAAGAACTTGTGCCCTTATCAACCGGGTGCTAAAATCTGAATGCAACTATTTAGTAGATGTTAATTCGTCATCTATCCGTCATTATACATGTTTGTTTACACTGCTCCGTTGTCCATTGACTTCCGGTAAAAGTTCCTTCAAAATATTGGCAAACAAATATAATCACTTCTCTAAAAGGTAACACATTTTAAATATAGTTAGAAGGTAATTTACAATAATATAAATAATAATAATAATATTAATATTAGTAATAAGCTTTATATTTGTATAG